ATGTCTCGTTTTCATTTGTTTCTTAAGTATTCGAGTTTAATTAGATTTTTATTTTGGTTGTTAAATTCCAGTTTATTACAGTCTGGGTGGTTTTAAATTCAGGGGTTATTTTGGTTTCATCTCTTGAAAACAATAACTTTATATCTGACGCCTGAGCTTTTACCATCTGTGTCTTCAGACAATCTCATATTTAGACTGAAGTTCATAGACCTGTACACGAAGCAAACTGCTAATAGAGTTGTTTTATATTAAAGAAAAGAAACACAATCCCTCCCTTTGTTATACAGACTCAGCATCATGTACCCAGATTTCAGGAGTGGAGAATAGATTTGTAGTCCGTCACATCTGTGCAGTGGCAGCCATCCTGTTCAGCCTTGTTTAGAGTGACACAGTGTGAATCCTGTAAAATAACATTCATATCAATATGTTCTGTTTAGGATGTCCGCTGGCATTTTTAAGTGTCCTACTGGAAAACACACAAAGCCTCAGTGAAGTACATGAAAAACTACTCTGTGAAAAATAACTTTTGTTTTTCCAGCTAACTTCACTATTTGCTCCCTCATTTCTCCTGTTCATGTACAACCTCTCTGCCCCCTCTCTCCGTCCTCCTCACTCAACTAGAAAATAACAAAAATATATTCCTATAAAAATTATTATAAGACACGCCTGTTTCTATTTGCTCTCTCTCTCTCTGGTGTCTTCATTCCTGCTCTCCATTTTAGTCAAAGTGTGGTTTAAATCTGCATCACTGATTTGTGTCATTAAATTAGATCTGCTCTTTCATCCCCAACAACAAAGTCTTATTTAAGCAATCAAATATTAGTACTGTTAATATAGTTATTGTAGGGGCGCTCTGAACTCGCCTACGGCCCAGATTCGGTGCACATGTACGTACAGATTCCTGTGTGATAGATGAAACGCTGTGATTAAAGCACTTCAGAGTGGATTCCCCACTCTGATGGTACTCAGAGTGGATGAGTACCATCAGAGTGGTACTCATCCACTCTGCGTGAATGGTACTCATGGTCATTGATCAACGATCATCACAATTTACTTGTTAACGATGACGAAGCTGACACCAAGTTTCAGTCCTTATGCAGATGCACTGTTTAGAAGATCAGGAAACCCCGCAGTCCGCTTAGTCCACAGAAGTCACGTTGATGAGTGAAAACACGACGTCCAGATGAACAAAGTGAACTTTCTGGGAATTCTTTACCTGGATGATTGAGGACTGAGCATTTGTACATTTATGTGAGTGCATTATTCATGTGAAAGTGTGTAGCGTAGTTATTTTATTTTCAATGTTTAGCATCTCTTTAAAAACAAAATCATTTTAAGTGTTTTTGTGCTTTTTTTTCTCTTCGTGCGTGGTTTGAGTAAGTTAGCCATCATCGCAAACCGGGTATGTTTAGGGATTTTTTTCTTTCTCGTTGGAGTGATTCCTCTTGGTAAATACACGATCTTTGATGCAGCGCCGCACTACGCCCTTCAGTTCCGCCCAAAAGGGAAATGACGCCGGTGCAGAAAATGGCGTCCGCAGAGCCTGTGGTCCGCTGTGGCTTTTTACCCGTTTAATTTAGCTCCGTGTGGGGGGTCTGTGCGATTGGCAGATGGACGCTGATGCCAACATGGCAGTGCAACGCTGCCACCCGCTTTCTTGATCTCGGAATCGAACTCGCAACTTGATGTCCGACGGAGCCAGAGCTGGCTGGTCGAAGAGGGGTTGTGGAGATTCGCACCGCCGAGGTGAGACGGCTGGATTTAGGCTAAGCTAAAGCGGCTCCGCCGGTCTAAGCAGCTGTCGGAGCCCCTGTAGCTCCAACTCGGAGTCGTGACAGCGAGTTTAGCCAAACACGGAGCGAAATATCCGCTCAGTTTGCGACAGTTTCCTCCTTTATCTTCCACAAATGTACGCCGCCATGTTCCGTCAGTACAGCCGAGTGTGGGGACCGTTATCCGCCAGCGTTAGCCTTTGTTTTGGAGCTCCAGTCGCGGCTCGGAGCAAGCTGTCCCCCCGCTGCTGTTTGAAGAAGTAAACACGGAAACCGAGGGCAGTTTAAACCGCGTGTTGGTGCAGATTTAACACGTTAGCGGGAGGTTTATTTTGGTGACAAGTGTGCGGATGTTTTCTTTTTCACCTGGAGGCAGACCCAGGTGAGGTCAGCACCGGGTGAGAGAGATGAAAACGAGGCTAGACCGATTCAGCGAGCTGCTTTCTGTTGCCTACATCCCGTTTTCACTGAAAGCAGTGCTGACAGGACTAATCAGCTATAGTGCCAAACAAGCTTAAACAAAGCCTCAACTTTCGTTAACAATTTAGCCTTAACACACATTTCCAGCTCCGCTAGAGTAGCTTAGCGTGATCCTCATTCCTCAGAGGCGGAAGAGTTTTGGCATATTCACAAAAGCATTGATATAATAAAAAATCTCAATCTTCATAATTAACCCTCTGGTTTCTAACTGGCCATTTTTGGCCACGAACAAGCTGAAAGGGTAGTGATTTTGATCAGGGCCAGAGGGTTAAAACATCTCAAACTGGGACACGCACGTGAGACCTGACTTGGAGAGCAGGTTGAGAACAAACACCTCTCACATAAACTAATGTATCTGTTCAGTACTTGTCGCTTTAACATTGGATTTTCCTTTAAATTGTCACAGGAAACTCTTACCAAAGAGCCAGTAAATTAAATATTCCTGTAAACTGCAGAGGATGTGTGTTTTACAGCACTTCTGTGCATGAGAGCTGTGATTTACAAGCCCCTGAACGCACCGTGGACTGTCTTCCTCTTCATCTAAGCCTTCTTTGTCTCTGAGAGCATCTTTTTCTGTCTCCCGTCAGAACCAGGCAAGCACAAACACAGGAAATGCGAGCGGCCCCTTAGCGCTCAGCCGTCGAAGCCTGTGATTGTTCGCCCGGGCTCCAAAAGGTACGTCAAACACGCAGAACTCCACCATAAATATACATTTTTATCTCCACTCCGCCCTCCTCCAGACCATCTGCCTCATTTCTGCCTGCTGAGTTTTAGGATGTGATGGGGGAAGGGCGAGGGGTCAAAGGTTAACGTCTTGGATCCTTAAATTTAGCTATGATACCAGTGATTTTTAATGCTTTAGAAGTAATAGAAGTTATTCTATCACATTTATTTCCACTTCTTCATGTACAGACGATGAAAAATCAACAATACTTGTAGTTAACTGAAATACCGAACTAGTAATAGTGATTCGATGGGTTATTTCCCACGTTTCTTTCCCATACACGCTGTTATTCCTGTCACCCATAGCTTCCATCTCACTGAATCTCTTCCATGTCTCGTTTTCATTTGTTTCTTAAGTATTCGAGTTTAATTAGATTTTTATTTTGGTTGTTAAATTCCAGTTTATTACAGTCTGGGTGGTTTTAAATTCAGGGGTTATTTTGGTTTCATCTCTTGAAAACAATAACTTTATATCTGACGCCTGAGCTTTTACCATCTGTGTCTTCAGACAATCTCATATTTGGACTTAAGTTCTGACCCAAAAAGCTACATCAGGGTATCGTTTGATTGCGCCGCGCGTCAGCAGCAGGAGAGCTGACGTAGCACAGAAGCTAAAAGCAGCATCTTCTCCTGTTCGGTCTGTGAGGAGGTCGCATGTAGTGAAACTGAGAGCAGAGGAAGTAGAAACAGGCACGTGTGCATCACTAGTCAACTAGACCTTTAAAAGGTGATGCTCTTGCTAGTCGGCCAGTAAGCGAATTATTAACGTAGCGACCGTTAGCTGTGGTTCTAAAGAGTTTATGACGCCACCAGGTGCTGGTCTCGTCCCGTGATTGTTGTCATGAAGTTATCAGAGTCTGACGGCAAAATCTTGAAGGATGATCAGCAGGTAAATGGCCTGTATTTATATAGTGCTTTACTAGTCCCTAAGGACCCTAAAGCGCTTTACATATCCAGTCATCCACCCATTCACACACTGGTGATGACAGCTACGCACTGACAGAGGCGAGGCTGCCGGACACTGGCGCCACCGGGCCCTCTGACCACCACCAGTAGGCAACGGGTGAAGTGTCTTGCCCAAGGACACAACGACCGAGACTGTCGAACCGGCAACCTTCCGATTACAAGGCGAACTCCCAACTCTTGAGCCACGATCGCCCCCAGGTAACCAACAGAATCCTAAATACAACTGATTTCCATGCCAGCCTGTTCCTGAGCTGAATAACCTCCAAGATTTCCCCCCAAAAAACAAACTGCAGGCTGTAATAAACTGGAATCCTCTTTTAATCCCACCATCATTTTATCTCCATTCAACTTGTATTCATATTTTTTGTATCATGATGAGTAAACACATGTATATGAACACTAAACTGCTGACATGAGTGTGGAGACTAAAAGGATGATTTCTGATTGTAAATCATGTTTCTGGTGCAAGTTTGCAGGAGTTCACGCTTTAACTGTGTTGGCTTTGTCGTCCAGGTGATTGACGCTCAGAAAAGGGACTTTGTTAGCATCTGCTGGACACAAGGGGCACTGTCCTCTGATTGGCTCGGACAACCCCCTCTGACATGCCCGTGGCCAATCAGAGGTGAGTGTGCTGCGTGTGTGTTTACGTTCTCGGATGAGCACGCGTGAGTTTCTGTGTGTTTGTGTTGTGCGTGTGAAGGGTTTCCTCTCTTCTCCGTCAGCTGGTGCGCGGCGGCTGACGTGCGAAGCTTTTTAACATCTCTTTAAATGACCTTCCAGCTCCTCGCTCGCTGTTTCTCAGCACCTTTGTGTCCTTGGAGAGACGTCTCTTCTCTGTGTGTTTTCGTGTGGTTGTTATTTCCTCACGGTTCATCCCTTTCTCCTTGTTCACGCTTCTCTTCTGGCTCGCTCGCGCCTTCAGGTGTGTTATGTCGGGGGCGGATGTGGAGGTGTACCTGTCTCAGGTGCACGATGGGAGCGTGTCGTCGGGCTTCAGGGCGCTGTACGAGGAGCGTCTGCTGCTGGACGTCACGCTGTTGATCGAGGAGCACCACTTCCAGGTACGCAACTACAGCACGTGTCACACGATGCTCCGTTTAAAGGATGAGGGTTTGGTCTTTGACCCCGTTTGGTTTGCTCCTCCCACTTTCAGGCCCACAAGGCGCTGCTGGCCACCCAGAGCGACTACTTCCGGGTCATGTTCACGGCAGACATGAGGGAGCGGGACCAGGACAAGATCCACATGAAGGGGCTGACGGCTGCTGGGTTCGGCCACATTCTCCGCTTCATGTACTACGGCTCGCTGGAGCTCAGCATGCCCACGGTGCAGGAGATCCTGCAGGTAACACGCGCGCAGTTCAACGGAGCTCCTCGTGAGCCTCAAAATTCAATCCGCCGTCGCTTTAAGAACGCGTCTTCCTCTCCCCGCAGGCGGCCATGTACGTCCAGCTGACGGAGGCGGTGGAGTTCTGCTGCTCCTTCCTGCTGGCTAAGATCTGCCTCGAGAACTGCGCCGAGGTCATGCGTCTCCTGGAGGACTTCAGCGTGGGCGTGGAGGGCGTCCAGGAGCAGCTCGACAACTTCCTGCTCGAAAACTTTGTCCCACTCATGAGCCGACCCGACTTCCTGTCCTACCTCAGCCTCGAGAGACTGCAGGTTTGATTAAACGAGCACAGATTTGATATATATTTTATTATACGTCACGCTTTTCTTTGTTATGAAGTCTGAGAAATAGTTGTTAAAGCGACAGTTTGACAAAGAAAGACGTTTCTAAACGGATAAAATGATCGACTGTGTGTCGAATCTTTATTTATATAAAGATTCTGGAACTAAACTAAACTGTTTGACTTCTTTCTGATTTAAAAAATTCATCTGAAAATGTGTGTTTACTCTTCTTAATTTGCACTCCTGTGCAGGCATCCTCACACCTTTAATAGCAGTGTGTTTTATTGACGGTCTTGGGCTGTGTCTGACTCCCGGTGCATGTTTTAAAGAAAACTGCAAATACATTAGTGAGGTACAAATAGCCCAGACTGCAAGAGAAATGTTTCCCGGGGGGTTCGGGAAAAGGCGATGAGCAAATTAAAGGCACATTTGTTGTTCTCAGTACTCATAAAATGTATTTTACGCAGCAGCTGTTGGTAAATATCAACGAGAGAGTTTAGCTGGTGGATAAATCTCACCCTTAAA